ATTTTTATTTTCTTTCTTTTTTTTTTTTTTATGTGGTGCTGAGGATAGAACCCAGTGCCTCATGCATGCTAGGCAAGCGCTTTACCACTGAGCCACCACCCCAGCCCCATGAAAGGTTTCTTTTAAAAAAGAGGAAAGTACAGGAAAATAACGGCCCTCCCCCGGGGCCAACAATTAACTGTTGTTTTTGTTTCCGACATTTAAGAAAGGAATTGAATGCCCTGGGTGAAGCTTGAGTCCCATTTGTTCCCAGTCCCACCCCGTCTTACTGAGTACCCATCCGTCTAGTCTGAGCTCCTATCTTCTCTAGAGGCTCCCTCTTTCATACACTACTCAGAGGGTGATACAAGGAAGATCACCAAGTTGAAGGTCAACCTGGGCAACTGGGCAAGAATCTGTCTCAAAATAAAATAAAAAGAGCTGGGGTGTAGCTCATTGATAGAGCACCTACCTATCACATAGGTAGGTCATGGGTTCAGTCCCCAGCACTGAACCAAAAAACCCTAATGCTGCTTGCTCTTTGCGTACTTCAAAATTTTTTGTAAATTTTTTTTCTCATACTGTGGCTTATTTTCTTCTTTTATTATTATTTTTCTACATTTTTTATTGGTGCACAAAAATTGTATATAATGGTGGGATTTTGTTACGTAGTCATACGTAGTTATAATGTAGCAATGTAACTTGGCCAGTGTCACTCCCCAGTATCTCTCCTTTCTGTTCCTTCCTCCCTTTCCCATCCCTTTCCTCTACTCTACTGGTTTTCCTTTCATTTTCATGAGATCCCCCACGTTTCTTTTCCTTTTCCTCTCTAGCTTCCACATATGAGAGAAAACATACAGCCCTTGTCTTTTGAATTTGGTGTATTTCATTTAATGTTGTTGCCGAAACCTTATCCTTGTCCCTGATACCAATCCAATAATGAGGACATGATTTTTGAGAAAAAGGAAAAAGGTTTATTGCTTTGTAATCAAAGAAGAAACACAGGGGACTGCTGTCCCAAAGGCTGTGATTCTGCTCATCTACAGGAACAAAGGGCTCTTAAAGAGGGGATTCAGAGAAAATGAGATTAGGGAAAAGAGAGATCCGGAAGGAGAAGGTTAGGGAAAAGAAGATCAGGGAGGAGAAGTTTAGGGAAAAGAAGATTGGGAAAAAGAAAAAAACATGTAAGTTTCAAAGCCACAAGGGTATAGTCAAAGCATCAAGTGAAACCCCTGTTATAACATGATGTTCTCAAGTTCTATCCATTTTCCTGCAAATAACATTTGTTTTAGAGAGAGAGAGATTTTAGCTTTCAGCGGACACAACATCTTTGTTTGTTTGTGGTGCTGAGGATCGAACCCAGGCCGCATGCATGCCAGGCGAGCGTGCTACCGCTTGAGCCACATCCCCAGCCCTCCTGCAAATAACATAATTTAATTTTTCTTTAGGGCTGAATAAAACTCTGTTGTGTTTATATACCACATTTACCTTGTCCATTCATCTGTGATGGACACCTAGGCTGGTTCCATAGTTTGGTTATTATGAATTATGCTGCTATAAACATTGGTATGCATGTGGCACTGCAGTATGAGGACTAATTCTTTGGGATAAATACCAAGAAGTGGTATAGCTGGTACATATGGTGGTTCTGTTATGCTCGAATTCAGGACCCCCAAAAGACCACCAGAGACCAAGATGGATGTAAGCAGCAAAGAGGTGTTTATTGTGAGCTAGCTCTGTCTCTGCGCGCACACAGCAACTGGTGACGCTGAGAGGCCCCAAGCCCAGGATTTGCAGCAGTTTTATACACTCTTTGGGGAAGGCAGGGACTTCACACACATCATAGCATCTCTTAGCAAATCATCACACACCACGGGAAAACCATAAAACAACTCTAAAACATGAATAGCACATTCACTGGCGGGAACAAGATGGGTAAGGGTGATTGGTTAGTACAAGAGGGGAATTCGTTTGAACTGATTGGTTTAAGCCATGAGAGGTGTACTTGCTGAACTCCATGGTTTCCCAACATGTTATCGACCATCATAAACTACTGGGAAGGTCATCTGGCATCCCAGGTATTTTCCTGTCTCATGCTGATTGGTGGCTGCTAGGGGGTTGCTATGGGTCCCCACCTAGCCTGACTGAGTCAGGGACACCTGAGCAGCAGATTTCTCCTGTTATTTGTAGATAAACAACTCAGCAGGGTGGGTATGTGTCTAGGAGTGCTCCATGGGTCTTTCCAAGGACAAGGATCATGCCCCCTTCCTTAGACAGGCTTTGCTCTGAGGTAGAGGCTGGTTTGTCAGTTCCATGTCTAGTCTTTTGAGGGATGTCCTCCCATACTTAACCTACCCATTCACTTGTTGACTGACAGTGTTTAAAATGTTTACCTATTACAAATAAAGCTGCGATTATTCTGGGCCTTCATAATCAGGGGAGGGGAGTTTTAGGTTTAAAACACCAACAGTGTCAACTGAAGGGAAGGTGACAGAGGATCCTACTAAGCCTAGTGAAGGGTTCCCCAGGGTGGGTTTTTACTCTTTGGGTGGGGAGGATCATGGACGGGGATACTCCAGAGTCCACATGCCTGGGGCTCTCTGAAACTATAGAGATGGTCCAGAGGTCCACTGACCAGGGAGCCTCTAAACTGCTCTCACCTTTGCACCCACATCCTCCACTGCTGGGCATGGATGGGCATCTGGAGCAGTCCCCCCCACTCACGCTTCCTCCCAGAAGTAGTAAGCAGTTGAAGACTGAAGCAGAACCCCCTGGTCAACTTGTTGGATCTTCACAACAACCTCATGACTTAGTACCATTGTGATTTCAGCTTTTCCATTGGAGGATGAGGCTCAGAAAGGCTACGACCCTTTTCAAGGTCACACAACCAGCAAGGAGTGGATCTAGACTCAAACCCGGGCAGCGACTCCGAAGTCCACATTCTCAGCCCCTGAGTTGCCCGCCCTTAATGTTCCACAGGCCCAAACCTTATCTCAGTTTCTGTTTTACAGCCTCCCCTCTGCCCTGCTTCAAGGGAGAGGAGCAAGGCCGTCCTGGATTGGACTCTGACTCCTCTCCTTGGTTATCAATCTCTTCGGCTACATTGCTCAAATTGCTTTGTCGTCTTGACCACTATTCCCCACGGCTCTCCCAAATCATTGTTTATATTTAATTCTGATCTTGCAGAATTTATGTATTTCTTCACCTCTCAGTTCCTACAAGTGTCCTAGTCTCTTTCTCCCTCCTGGGTGGTGCTAATGTCATCCACCATCACAGTGGGGAATAGGAAATAAAGTGGGTAACTTGCCAGCGATCCCTGAGTCCTTATAGACAGTCTGTTTCACTAGAGCAAAGAGGCATCTCCTTGACAGTAAAGTAGATCAGAAATCCGTCAGTGTTTGGGAAGACACAGTGCCATGGCCGTTTATCTGTTGGAGGTTAGAGAGATATTTCTGCAGTGGTTGATCTCATTGCTCAATTTGTTGCTGAAAGCTCGGTCCTTGTCCCCATGCCAATCCAGTATTGAGGACCCAGTTTTGAGAAAAAGGGAAAACAAGTTTTATTGTTTTGCTAGCAAAGGAGAAGCACAGAGGACTCCGGTGATTCTGCCCACCAGGGAAAAGGGGGCGTGGTTTAAAGAAGTGCTTCAAAGTCTGCCTTCCACATTCTTTGCTGGAGTTGTAATTCCATTGTTAATTTGAGAAACATTCCTGAGATCTTCTGCTATCCCCAAAGTCTGAATTACTTTGTTCCTGTGGACTTGGGCGTGTGCTTAAAGACAGGTTACTGGCCTAGGATGGGGAAGAAAAGTAATCCTGTTTCCCCTGAAATTAGGGATGGGGAGAGATTAGAGAGGAGCAGGGAGAGAGGACAGAAAGAAACAAGTGAGTTTTAAGAATCAGTCACAGTGGCAGACAGCCAGGGCCGTATTCAATGTAGAAAGTGGACCCCTGTTACATATTGATGTCAGTCATTAAGATAAAGTTGGTCAGTCCTGTGGCTCAAATTTTTTCAAAATCCTTTCTGTGTAGTGAATTTGGTTTCTTCCTGCTTATTCTATCAGTTACTGAGAAAGGAGCCCTGTGAACATCGTAGCAATGATGGGGTAGCAGGGGTTCACTTGATACTCTGACTGTATCCCTTGTGACTTTGAAACTACATGTTTTTTTTCTTTACCCAACCTTCTCTGTGACCTTCTCCTCCCTGATCTTCTCCTCCTTGATCTTCTCCTTCCTGATCTCTCTTCTCCCTAATTTTATTTTCTCTGAATCACCTCTTTAAAAAAAAAAAAAAAAACCTGTTCCTGCTGATGGGCAGAATCACAGCCTTTGGAACAGGAGTCCCCTGTGTTTCTCCTTTGCTGGCAAAGTAATAAGTCGTCTTTTTCCTTTTTCTTAAAACCACAGCAACAATGTGGTCTGTTTATTTACCCCTTTAGCTTCAAGTGGCTTAAAGCTACTTTACTAGTTGTGCACACTTCAGGACTCTTGGGAGTTTCTATTGACCAGTTATTTCACCATAAGAAACGTCTCTTTTTCTTGACAGGCCGTACCTGAAGTCAGCTTGATCTGACACTAACAGCCACAGCAGCCTCTGTAGGTTTTGTTGCTGAAATCTCGGTCCTTGTCCTTGATGCCAATCCAATAAGGAGGACATGGTTTTGAGAAAAAGTAAAAAGTGGGTTTATTGCTTTGCCAGCAAAGGAGAAACACAGGGGACTCCCTGTCCCAGCCCATCAGGGGGAACAGGGGGCTTTTTAAGAGACAATTCAAAGCCTACATTCTCTGTTGGAGTTGTGATTCACTTGTTATTTTGGGAGATACTCATTTCTGAGATCTTCTGGTACCATACCCAAAATTTGCATGATGGGTGTGTACTCAAGGACAGGTAACTCTGCCTGAGATAGGGAGAGGGAGAGATTAGGGAGGAGCAGGGAGAGGGGAAGAGAAAGGAAACACGTACTTTTTAAAAATAAGTTGCAATGGCAGAGAATCCATTCTCCATATTCTACTATTCCGCACTTTTTTATTCTCCATTTTATTTTACATTCAACATTCTTTTAAAACATAAAAAGAATAAAGTAGGGCTGGGGATGTGGCTCAAGCGGTAGCGCGCTCGCCTGGCATGCGTGCAGCCCGAGTTCCATCCTCAGCACCACATACAAAAACAAAGATGTTGTGTCCGCTGAAAATTAAAAAAATAAATAAATATTGAAAATTCTCTCTCTCTCTCTCTCTCAAAAAAAAGAATAAAGTATAGGTCATATAAACAGCCTGCAGTTGCTTCTCCTCCAGCACAATAATCCCCATCTTTTAATTGCAGTGTTTGGTCCCTGTCCTAGTTTCCTAGGGCTGCCTTAACAAATTACCACAAACTCAGTGACAACAGGAATTTATTCTTCAGGGATCTGGGTGCTGCAAGGCCAAAATCAAGATGCTGTGATATTTGACTTGGAACATGGGATTTCACCAGAACTCTAAGGCCTCCTCCTCCAGAAATACGTTGTGGGCCTGTCTTCTTGCAGCTGTATTGCCTGTGTCCTGGTTTCATTGTGGGACCTCGGAAGAAAACCAGAAGAGGCGTTTTGGGGTGTGGCACCTGAAATGTTAGACTCCATTCCCATTTCATGAGAAGGGAAGAGGAAGAAGGAAAGCAGAATTTAGTAAGTACCTATTGTCTTTTTATGTGTTTGTCCTCAAAAACACCCTGAGGCAGGAGACTGTGGAAACTCCTTTCTTTTAAACTTTTTTCCTTGAGGCACTTGGCTGCAGCAAGAGCATGTAAAATATTTTCCACCCGAGAGAGCCTTCTAATTCTTCGCCCACAAATGCACTTCGCCTTCGACTTCAGTGGGAGCTTGCTCTTCAGAACTGGAGGGGGTGCGAGGTGCTGCCATTTCTCCAGGTTGGCCCCTAGCCTTAGAGCTCAGTCTCCTTGCTAATGCCACCCCTCAGCTGGTGCCCAAGGAGGAACTCTTCACTTGATTATCCAACTTTAGCCTGTTTCAAAAAGTGTTGCTTGCCATCCAGGAGGGGCTTCTAGAGTATTTCTCACAGGTTCTAAAGACGTCCCAAATAGGGGCCCATGTTGTACAATGCAGTGGCAATAGGACTGGACCAACTGGAACTTTCTAGCAGGCCAGGCGTTCCACAAACACTCATTTGACCAGATACCTTCCTGTCTTTCTTTCTTTCTTTCTGTACTGGGGATTGAACCCAGGAATGCTTAATCACTGAGCCACATTCCCAGCCCTTTTAAATTTTTATTTTGAGACAGGGCCTCATTAAGTTGCCGAAGCTGGCCTTGAATTTGCCACACTCCTGCCTCAGCCTCCCTAGTTGCTGGGATTATGGACATGCACCACCGTGCCAGCTCCTAGCTGTTAAAAAAAAAAAAAAAAATCCCCAGGGAGCTATGCAAGACCCTGTCTAAAATAAATTTTAAGTATTTAAACCATAATGGTGTATAAAAAGAGATCTAGGAGCACGTGACTTTCCTGCCTCTGAGCCTTCTTTATGGAGAATCACCATGAAATGCTTACAATTATTTGAGACATTTTAGGCTCTCTCATTGAAGTCCTGTCCTGTCCTAAGGATGCAGATGACCAAGAAGCCCAGTGTCCCCCAGGAGTTGGAGTGATACTAGAATTTAAAGCCTTCCAAGCGAACAGCTCATCTGCCTATCCAGGGCCGTCAGAGTCCCAGGCTGGTCTACACTGACTGTGCAGCAGTGTAGACTGTATAAACGCCATACATTCTTCTGTCTTCTCATTTCCAATGATTCTGCTGTGTGGGTGAATAAAATGAAGTATGCAAATCATTTGAAAATACAAGAATGCACTCATTTTTAAGCCAATAAACTTGCTATTTTCACAGAGGGAGAAAAAAAAAAAAAAAAAGGTGGCAGCCGGACTTTGCTTCCTTGGAAGGCTCAAGGAAGAACCTTCCTCTTATTTCCTCAATGAAGGGAACAGAAACCATGCACCCACCCTTTTAGTTCCGTGGTGGAGTTAAGCTGTCCATTAGAACAATGCAAATTGAAATAAATGTGTTGGTATCATTGATCACAATCAGGATGCAGCTGTCTTTCTGGGACTTTGTGCAGTGGCTTCTGAGCATGCTTTTTATTCTGGAGGGTTTCAGGTGTGTCCTACTTCTACCAGTCTTCACAGCCTTCCTTTTGATTTTTAGATGTCTAAAAATCTTTCCATTCTGTCTCCGGGGTTATATAAAGGACTAATCAGCCTGCTGCCCCATTTTTCTAGCCAAACACCTGCAAAAACACTTTATAAAGCCTCCCAGACTATACAATGTGAAGTTTATGATCATTATGGCCCTGTTAGCAAAGAAAAAAGGGCATAGTACCTGTTGGATAGGCAAACAAAAGTGTCCGTCTGCAGCAATAACGTGAAGAATAAAAATCAAACTCTTGGGTCTGATTTTCAAAGCTGCTCAGAGTCTAAGTCCATCCTGTCTTCCAACAAAACACTGCAATAGACATCACAGGAAACCCCATGTTTCATCTGCCCCAGAGGATCCCACAGAAAAAACCCTGTGCTTTCATACACACATCGTTTCATCTGAAAGAAATGCACTACGTCTCCATCTGCCCTACTTAATGCCTAAGAAATGCTTTTAGATAGTATTTCTGGACCCCATCCCTGAAAGTTCAATGCAAACCCTACATGTTGCAAAGCTGTCCTATCCTTCCCAGCCGATAGAAACCTCTCTTCTGGCTTCCTCTGTATCTCTGCAGCATTCCATCATTTTTTACCTTTTCCTAGAGTTATGCACAAAAGACTCTCATACCCCTTCTTGATTGTGAACCCACAAAGAATAGGAGTTCCTTCTGACTTGTTATCATATTGCCAGACTTCAAGTGCACGCCAAGGAGGCAGATCCTGAGGGCATCTTCTTGGTGTTTTGAACTCAAGAGACCTGCTTGTATTCAAAATCTACAAATGCTTCAATCCCCCCCTCCCCTACAAGTCAAGAACACAATATAAATTTGGTGTCTATCCTTGGATCACGTCTGTCACACAGTGAAATGATATTCCTGGACTATTATCTCTTTTGCCAACTATCATTAATCAAAAACAGATAGATGTGAACATTACCAGATTTGACACTTGACCGTCACTAATTTCCACAGTAACTGGTTCAGGAAAAAAAAAAAAGCCAGTATACAACAGAAACAATAAACCCATTACAGCATTACATTGCATCATAGTCCCAGAGACTTTAATCACATACGATCTTTCCAATGCGGCTCTAAAGATCATTACTGCATAAAGGTGGCTTTTAACTTCTGAGCTACTTAGCAATGAGGGGCAATTTTGCTATCATGGCAGCAAATGCTTTTGGCTATAAAATGTGTCAAAAGTTTACAGGGTACAATGATTCATGACTCACCTGGGGGACAATAAAGATGAGGTCAGCCCCGCCCACATGGAGGCTCCCTGGGTCATGGTTAGTGCATCACTGGTTAGTGTATCTTCTGAGCTACCACTTACATGATGATATTCTTTTTGTAGCTGTGGCACCAGATTAATTTTGCTCTGTCGGGCTGGGTGATGTGAAGTGTGGGCAGGGGAACACTTGATATGACCTATAGCTGTCACATTTGTCATTCCAATCACCTGATGATAGCGAGAGAGGCAGCCCTGTGACACTACTCTTTCTGAGTTAGAGAAACTATAGGAATTCCAACAGCTCATCTGCTACTTCTACGTAGAAACTGGCCCATTTGTGATGACCTCATGAGAGTTTGGTGGTGGTGGTGGTGGTGGTGGTGGTGGTGGTAGTGGTGGTGTGTGTGTGTGTGGTTTTTGTGTCTATTTTGGATTGGGTTTTTGCTTCAAGGTAGATCAACAGGTGAAATTTGCCTTCCCCGTATTTGTATCCTCTGTCTGTTCAACTTCACTCTGGGTGTCCCCATTATTGATGAAACTCTTGCAAGCCCTGTTCCCTCAGCTACAGACCCTGGCCTGCCTACGCAGTACTCTATTCTCCTCCCTCTCCTCACCTCTTACCCATCACTCTATCCAGAAATTATTGCTGCCTTGCTCAAAACTTCTATAAATGAGACTCTTTAAGCAGGAATTTTCTATTGCTTCCAAGAAAGGTAAGTAGTCTTTGGGCTACGGTCTGAATATCCAATTTTTTATGTTAGAAACCCAAAATGATGACATTTGGAGGTTCAGCCTTTGCGGGGGGGGGGGGCGGGTGATTGGGTCATGAGGGTGCCACCCTTATAAATGGGATTGTGTCCTCAAAACAGAGACCCCAGAGAGCTAGTTTGTCCCTTCCACAATGTGAGGACAGGGCAAGAAAGCACTGTTTTAGAGAACAGAATGAGCTCTCCTCAGAGACTGAATCTATAAGCACCGTGACTGTGGACTTTCCAGCCTCCAGAGCTGTGAGCAATAATTAACCTGGTCTAAGTCGTTTTATTATAGTAACCCAGACAGACTAAGACACTGCTGGTGGAAGAAAGGAGCGGGACACCCGGGGTCCTTTTCCCATCCAGCCTACACTCACAAGGGGCCCACTTAAAAGAAAAAGTTCTCAGCCATTTTGCTCAAACCAAAGCGGGGGTTCCTTTAGTGGATTTGGCTTTATAAAACAAGGGCTGCTCAGAATAAACTGGGTATGGTGGGAAGAGGGCTATTTATGAGCAGGAATTTTTACTGCACTCTCAAAATCACCCACTAAAGGTGCCTGCCCATTTACTCTCAAACAGACACTCACCTGTTTATGGCTTTCTGCTTTCTCCAGTGTAGTCATGCCCAGACACTGGGATTTCATAGAGTCTTAAAAAAAGAACAATAGGATTCCAAGTCAGTATGGTCAGTCTGGTTTGCCAAGTAAGAATGCTTGAAATGCTGGGCATGGTGGCACAAACTTGTAATCCCAGTGACTCCGGAGGCTAAGGCAGGAGGATCACAAGTCAGAGGCCAGCCCGGGCAATTTAGTGAGATCCTTATTGAAAATAAAAAATTAAAGGGGCTGGCTGGGGATGTAGCTCATTAATAAAGTAGCTCATCTCCAGTAACGAAAGGAAGGGAGGGAGGGAGGGAGGGAGGGAGGGAGGGAGGGGAAGAGAAAAGAAAAGGAAGCCTCAAACAACCACCAGGGCCGATTACTATCAACATTATTTCATGAAAGCAAGGTGGTTTACTATGAAACAGAGAATGGACATTATGCCATGTTAAGGTAGTTCTTGAATTGAAGAAATTTAATTTTATGTTGTTAGTTTCCTCACACCAAGGACTGATGAATACTTGGTCCTGAACTGACACAGACCCACAGACCGGAATTGGGAACCATGACTCAGGATATCAGCACATTTGGCCAAAACTAATCAGCCACATCCACTTTACAGGTAATGGTGAACAAAATTCACTGTGGGTGCATTTACTCATTTGGACATCCCAAAGAGGTTGGGAAGTTTCCAAAAGTAGAAATAAACACACCTGCTCGGGAGGCCCAAATCCCCCACCTGAGGACTGGGGGATCTCAGGCCCATCACTGGACCTCTCTGGGCTGCTTTTGCCACAGCTACAAAAACGGAGAGACGGCAAAAACAGACTAGGTTGTTTTAAGCATGAAATGAGGATCAGTAGCCCAGTGCCATGGTGCACACCTATAATCCCAGAGGATCACAAGTTCGAAGCCAGCCTCAGAAACTTGGCAAAGCCCTAAGCAACTGAGCAAGACTCTGTCTGAAAATAAAAAATAAAAAGGGCTGGGGATGTGGCTCAGTAGTGAATTGTGCCTGCGTTCAATGCTCAGTACCTAAAAAATAAATAAGTAAATGAGGATTAGCAAAAGGTCTCTGTTTCAACAAACCAGTAATTTGTCACTAGAACTGTCTGGAAACAGTTACTAGAACTATATTTTGTAACTACAATCGTTACTAAGACCCCTAAAATACAAAAGATCAAAAGTTTCTACCTTTTCCTTGGAAGAGGTCATGGTCTATAGGAGGCCCCTGTAAAGGACGGCCAGGGACAGCCAAACCAGTGTTAGGATAGAGACGAATGCTGTAGTGGAAGCCAAGGGGGCTTTGGAGGGTTGAGAATAAAGAAAAGAGAATAAGGAAAAGTCTCTCGGGGGCTGAGGACTGAGCACACTCTCAAGGGACACAAGATCAAAACAAAACAATAATAACCAATAAGGCTCTGGAATGAGAATGTGCTGCACCTAAAATGCCCACGTCTGGCAGGCTAGCGCCCTCCTGTGAGCCGGGGTCAGCTGCTGACTGATTGAAGGGATGGCTTTTATCACAGCAGTCATTTCCCCTGGCCTCCCAGCCGCCATTCTATTCTGGTTGCTTCAGGAAATCCTTCCCTGGCAATTCTGACTTGAAGAAGTGAGCTTTCGGTTCAAAAGAAAAGAGAAGTTGCAGTAGGTGGTTTTTAGGAAATCCTGAACATAAAACTGTTTGGGAAAGCCAGCTATCAGAGGACTGAGTCCCAGGGGTACTTGGCCCCTCACTGCTCAGGGTGGTCCTCTGATGAGCAGTGTGGTGTCACCCTGGAACTCAGCCCAGCCAACGGTATTGATGAAAGTCTACATTTTAACAAGATCCCTAGAGCACACTGGGGTTCAGAAGCACCACCAATGCCCAATTCTTGAAGAATTAAAAAAAAAAAAACATCCCAAAGTGACGAGCGTGAAAACCCTTCATCCTGACTTGGATTGACCTAACCTGAACTTGATGGTATTCATTGCTGTCTGTGTGTTACAGGTTCATGGCTGACACACAGAGAAGGGCTCTATGCTACTCACCCCCCCCACCACCATGACCTTATTTATATCTCCAGGCCACCTATAATTTCTGTGTCTTTGTTTTTACTTTTCTAAAACAAAGCTCAGAGACATTACATGGCTTGCTGGGATCACTTCGGTCCTCAGGTTCAAGTTCAGGACTCCTGCATTGAGCCAAGAAGCCCATCACATAAAGGTCATGAGGGCTCCACCCTTACGAGTGGGATTGTGTGGGGCTGAGAAGGTGGTCCCCTTGGAGGGCTCAGCCTCCATGTGGCCCAAGTGCAGTCAATGTCAGAGCCTGCTGCTCCTGTCTTCAGACCCCGAGTCTCATTACCAGCACCATTCAGTCCGCGGGTTCTAGACTCCCTGATAGGCCTTCTCCTCTACTTCCAATTCTTCATCCTTTAAGTCCTGTTTATATACAGCCATCAGAAGCCAGCTCTGGGGGTGCCTCATTGGCTAACTAAGACTTTGGCTCTTATCAGCAAGGCCCCTAGGGGATTCCTCTTTTTATTCCTCATAAGCCTACTTCATGCCTCTTGGGGTTCAATCAAGTGGTTGAGACTGATGAATACCAGGGGCTCCTCCTGAACAAACCTGCAACAGTCTCTGGACAAAAGGCAAAAGCAATAAAGGGCAAGACTGGGGCTGCATGTCTAGCTCAGTGGCAGAGTGCTCACCTTGCACCTGCAAGACCCTAGGTTCCATCCTCCACAAGGAGGTGGGGGGAGCAGCAGGGGCAAGGACTAAGTGAATTGTAAACATCCTAAGCCAGGCATGGTGGCACAATCCTGTAATCCCTAGGGAGGCTGAGGCAGGAGGAACGAAAGTTCAAACCCAGCCTCAGCAACTTAGTGAGGTCCTAAGCAACTCAGTGAGACCCTTTCTCAAAATCAAAAATAAATGAAGGGATGGGGATGTGGTTTAGTGGTTAAGCACGCCCCCAAGTTCGATTCCTGGTACCAAAAAATAATAAAATAAAACAAAACTTGGAAACATCCTGAAATTCAGAGGCTTGAGCAGACTGTCTGACAAAGGTAGGACTTGAGGAACAAGCCGGGGATCCTGCCTCTTGCCATAACACGGACTCCAAGGGTTTAAAAAGAAGGCTGAATGGCATCAGGAAGGGAATCCAGGCACCCTGGCTCTTCACAGGATGAAGGAGGACTTCAATGTTGGTAGAATTATCTAGGCATTGTGCTAGGGGTTTTACATTTGGCACCTCTTTGACTTTCTTGTGACAATCCAAGGTCAGTATTATGACTCACATGTCACAAGAGGCTGAGTGAGGTTGGACCAAGGAAAATTGCCAAAGTCACACAACCAGTAACTGGCAGAGTCAGTTTCTACCCAGGGGCCACATTCCGCTCTGCTATGGGGCTCAGAGAACTGCAAGGAGGGATCACAAAGAGATCAAGAAAGTTCAAAACAACTTTTTGAATCTCTGACATGATGACATGATGCTCAAAAAAGTTCAGATTTTGTAGGGCTGAGTGTAGTTCAGTGATAGATCACGTGCTTAGCATGATCAAGGGTTCAATTTCCAGCGCCCAAGTTTCAAATTTGGAGCATTTCCAATTTTTGGATCAGGAAGGGTCAACCAGGAAAGTCTATGCAAATATTCCAAAATCCCAAATCTGAAACACTTCTGTCCTCAAGCATTCTGGATATGGGATGCTCAACCTGTACTCCCTTGAATGGGTGTTGTGCAAATGCTTGCAAGAGCAAACATCTTGAAGAAGATTACATGATAAACTTTAATTCCTTCCCCTCACTTCCCCCCCCCCCAGTACCAGGGCCTTGCTTATGATAAAGAACTCTGCTACTGAATTATATCCCAGTTCTTTTTATTTCAATTTTTAAGACAGAGGCTCACTAAATTGCCCAGGCACACCTCCAACTTGCGATTCTCCTGCCTCAGCCTCCGAAGTAGCTAGGATCACAGGCATGAGCCACCATGCCCGGCTCCCGTTATTTTGGAGTACAATATTGTATAGTAGGTTGAATGGTGGCCCCTCAAATATATGCCTAAATCCTAAGTCCTGGAACTTGCGAACTGACCTTATTTAGAAGAAGAAAGTTTGCAGATGATTAAGTTCATGATCTCCAGATGAGATGGTCCTGGATTTAGGGTGGGCCCTAAATTCTGTCACAGTGTCCTTGACAGAGAGAGAGAGAGAGAGAGAGAGAGAGAGAGAGATTTAACAGAGATACAGGGAAGAAAACTCAAGAAGTCAGAGGCCGAGATTGGATTTCTGCAGCCAAACCAGGGAATATCTGCAAACTGGATGAGGCAGGGAAAAATTAATTCTCCCTGAAAGTCCTGGGAGGAAGTGGGCCCTGCTAACACTGTGATTTTGGACTCTGACCTCCAAAACTGAGAGAATAAATCCCTATTGCTTTAAGCCACCCAATTGTAGTGATTTATTACGGCAGCCCTGGGGAACTCGTTTACACCCAAATTAACAATCGTTCATTTTTTAACTATTATCTAAAAATCTATATTGGCACCAAGAGCCTATAAAACTCACTCTAAATCCATTCATTTTTGGATTGGGAAATCCAGATTTGGAAATCTATGTTCAAAGTATTGAGAATATACAGTAAAAATTTATATCTATCTAATATATATATATATATATATATATATATATATATATATATATACACATACATATATATATTTAAAGTTTGGTAGTTTGTTAGCTACTTTGGTCTCAAGATGAGGAGATAGAATGTGCCTTTTCATGCAAAATATTTTATAGTGCATAGATAACGTTATTTAGGGATGAGGATTATTTATGCTATTCCTATAGTATCCTAATTAACTTTTTTTTAATGTGCACTACGCATAAAAGAAAGAAAATGAAACAAAACCAACACAAAGAGCTTAGGTTTCACCCACAAATCTGTGTTGTAGCCTGCAATCTGTCAGAAAAGCCTGCAAAGCCCCCGCTGCATTTTTTTGGTACAAACACATTTTATTTTGAGCCTTTTTCTCTCATGCTAATAAGAAATTTTTAAAGCAATCATGAGCTAAAACGGAAGATAAGTGGTAAAGCAGGCTTTTCCTAAATGCTCTATATTATCCTCGCTCTGGCCTCGTTTTGAATCATTCTCAGAAAACTCTGCAATAATCTGTCATCCTCCGAACAGAGCTGAGCTAGGCTTCTTCACTGGAGCATGGCCCCAGTTTACCTGGGAGTTGTTACAAAGTCCCAGGACTCACAAACCAGAAGTAGGAAGAGGAATGTGTGTCACTGGGTAGTCCTGGTCACAGAGCAAGGGACTCAGGGGTCAGATGGCCAAAGTGTGATTCTAGTCTTCATCATTTAGTAGTGTGGTCTAGGCAAGGTTTTTTTCTTTCTTTCCTTCCTTCCTTCCTTCCTTCCTTCCTTCCTTCCTTCCTTCCTTCCTTCCTTCCTTCCTCCCTCCCTCCCTCCCTCTCTCTCTCTCTCTCTCTCTCTCTCTCTCTTTTTTGTACCAGGAATTGAATCAAGGGACACTTAACCACTGAGCCACTTCCCCAGCTCTTTTTAATTTAGAGAAAGGGTCTTGTTAAATTGCTTAGAGCCTTGCTAAATTGCTGAGGCTGGATTGACCGTGCGATCCTCCCGCTGCCTCAGCCTCCCAAGTTGCTAGGATTACTGCACCCAGCGTTTTCCTTTTTTTTTTCTTAAAAATTGATAATTTAACATTGCATATTTCTGTGTACAACATGAGGTTTAATATATGCATACATTGTGGCATGTTAAATCAAGCTAGATAACATGCATTATATCACATTCTTCTTATTATTATTTTAGTGAGAGCACTTCAAATCTGCTCCCAGCAATTTTCAAATATACAATATGTTGTTATTAACTGTAGTCACCATGCTGTATCATAGATCTCTTGAACTTATTCCTCCTGGCTAACAGGTTTTATACCTTTTGACTAATATTGCCTCAGTCCTCCAACCCTCCAGCCTCTGGTAACCACCATTTTACTTCCTAATTATATGAGTTTGACATTTTTATTCTCCTCATATAGGTAAGATCATGTGGTATTTTGTCTTCCTGTGACAGGCTCATTTTATTTACATAAGTTCCAAGTTTTGCTCATATTGTTGCAAATAGCATACTCTTCTTCCTTTTTTAAAGACCAAATAATATCCCATGGCGTGTGCATATGACATTTTCTTTAGCCACTCTTTGGTTGATGGACACTTAGGTTGATTCCATAGCTTGGCTATTGTGAATAATGTTGCAGTGCAGATGGTAGAAGAGATATCTCTTCATCCCACTGATTTTATATGTTTTGGATATATAACCGAGAGTGGGATCGTTGGATCATATGGTGGCTCTGTTTTTAATTTGGAGGAACCTCCATGCTGTTTTCCAACCAGGCAAGTTACTCAAGCATCTCCAAGTCCTGGCTTCCTCATTTGTAAAACAAAGATAATAATAGTGTCCGCCGCATAAAGTTTTGAAATCCATGTTGCTAAACCCTGTGGTCAATCTCAGTTCTCATCTTAGTTTACTAGTGTTCTTGGTCTCTTTCTTTATTTTCTATCAAAACGAGCTCTCCTGGTTTTCCCCACCTCCTTGAACGTCCCTTGGTATTTGTGCCCATCCTATGTGTGGAGATGAGAGCACTTAGGGTTTGGCCCTTGGACCCCACATCTTCTCCCTCTCTCTGCTAGATGGCCTTCCTAGCCTGTGGCCTCCCCTTTCACCTCCGGCTGAAGACTTCTGCACTGCAAACCAGCCTCTCTCTGAGTCCCAGATATCTTTATCTCTGTGACCTCTCCACCTGCTGTGGAGTAAACCACACAAAATTGACACATCTGCTCCAAATTCTGGATTTCTACCCCCAGGTTGGCTCAGCTCCTCCTCCCATGCTGAGCATGACAAGAAATGATACCCTCAGCTTGGGCTCAAGCCCAAATGTCGATGTCATCTGTGCCTCTTCTGTTGCTCTCACATCACATTCAAATCCGTCTTACCACATTGTGTTTTGTTTTGTTGGCCCCAAGGTCAGTCCACGTGACTCTCACCTCAACTTGGGAGAATATGCAAAACCCACCACTCCTCACCTCTGCTGAAGTTTTAGCTCAGGGCTTCAAGCTGCGGCCATCTCCCTCCTGGACTACTACAGTAGTCTCCTAACTGGCCTCCTACCTACCGCCAATCCCTGCCTCTTCTCCAGCAAGCAGGCAGCGTGATTCCTTAAAATCTGGGTCCGTGTCTGTTCTTGATCAACACTCTCTAATGGCTTCCCCGTTTCACTCAGACCCCAGCACCCCAGGGACCTCATCCCCTGCCACTTTCCCCTGGCCAAGCCTTCCCACAGTCAGGGGCGGGCTGTCCGCTCCGCTTGAAAGGTGCCAAGACACCCACCCACCCACAGAACCACCTCCCTCAAAGCTCCTGACTGCCTACCCCCTGCTCAGATGATTTTTCCTCTTAGAACTCACCTACTTGGTATTACATTTGTATTTGTTTGTTGCCTGTTTTTTTCCCTCTAGAATTCAAGCTCCATGAGAGCAAGCAGTTGCTGTGTCCTTGGTCCTGGAATGCTGTTTGATATGTTGTTCACTGTTAATAATGGCATGCATGAATGAGTCAGGTAAAGCCTGTAAAGTCTGGCATATGATTGATAAATGGCACCTGCTGCTGGGCTTCTTCTTTTTATGAGCAGTGACTATGCATCCAGGAACTTTGTATGTCTTGCCTTCTCTGCTGGCCCTAAGTGTTTTTAGCCCTCTCATTCTCATGCCCAGTCTTCCTCATCAGGAGGCTGAGAATGGTAAGAAGAAAGCAAGAGGGGCTGGGGTGGTGGCTCAGCAGTAGAGCACTCGCCTAGCACGTGCGAAGCCCTGGGTTCGATCCTCAGCACCACATAAAAATAAACAAATAAAATAAAGGCATGCTGTCCATCTACAACTACAATCAATCAATCAATCAATCAATCAATCAATGAAAGAAAGAAAGAAAGAGACTACTATGGCTAGCCCTCCTTTCTTGTCACCAGGCTTGACTCTGCCAGATAGACACAGAAAGAGGATGGTGGGACTATATGGCCTTCAAGTAGTGCCATCAAACACTCTGAATGTGGGCTTCTGTGGTTGTTTGTTTTTGTTTGTTTTACAGTACTAAGCATTGAACCCAGAGCCACTGTAGGACTGAGCCACATCCCCAGCCCTTTGCATTTTTTGTTTTGAGACAGGTTCCCACTGAGCTGCAGAGGCTGGCCTCAAACTTGCAGTCCTTCCTTCCTCAGCCTTCCAAGTCGTTGAGATTGCAGGTGTATACCACCCACCCAGCCCTGAATGTGGTTTTTGGACAGCCTCACTATAAATAATGTGTTCTGTGATTTTTATATATGAGCCAAAACTTAATTATTTCTGCCTCCCATGTTGCCTCCCAGACTAATGCTGAAAAGTAGCCCAAAATGGTATTTTTTTGCTCAGAACACATTGAATCTTCCCTTTAATAACCATTATGCTGTTTTGGAGATTGTATAAATTTAAATATATAGAATTTTATGGGATAAACTTAGGCAAACCCTGAAAGAAGCAAACCAAATAAACTTGTAGGGGTATGTGCATTGGTGACTGAGATACAAATCGAACTCATTATTGATCCATGCATTTTTTTTTTTTTTTTGAGCTTTGTGCTCCCTGCTCTGCATGAATGAATCCAAGAGAAGCAAGCACACCCTCTGTACACCATTGCTTTAAAAGAGCTTGGTAGAGTCCTTAGGAAATGGAGCAGGGACAAGATGCTTTTCTTTCCTTTTGAGACATGGCCCTCAGCCATCAGTCCCTCTGAGCTGGTTGGCAGCCAAACCACCCCAAGATAAGGACTGTCGTCAGCACATTCCTGGATACCTGTTACGTGCAGACAGCCCTGGTGACTGCAGCTGACAGGTCTAGTATCAGGTTCAAATGCCCATCTGTGGTCCCAGTGCGGGGAGGGACCTGGAAAGTTACTAAACCAAAGAGCCAGAAGGACTGGGTCTCAGTCCAGAGCCAGAAGAGCTCTCATCCACCCTAAGGGCAAAACACTCTTGGGAGACAAATTGGCAGTGGGCTCTTAGGAGATGAAATCGCTGACTCAGGGAAACCAGACTCTGGAGGGGCTGAGCCCTTTAAAGCATGACTGGAACATTTTGG